CAAATAAATTCATGAAACATATGGCGCATTCTGCGCACATATAAGTATATAGCGCGTAGTATGTTTTAAAAATTTATTTGAATGCCTTCCCGATCGAATTGAGATCTGAAATTTGATATGGATAAACTAGACTTGATGGAGAACATGATCAAAAAATTCCACCAGGAAGGCACCCAAACGGGCAAGTCCGCACGACTTTTCCCGTCAGGCGCGCCTGACCAAAATTGTACTCTATATATTTATCCCAACTATCATCAAATTCACAAATCTATCCCAGACTTTCACTTTTATTAAAAAAAGACTCGAACTTCCATTTTTCTCACAATTACACTTTCAATGGATGAATTTAAGAAGAAAATCATAATTATATTTCATACTTTTCACTTTATAGTTTTAAGTTTAGAAATTTGTATTACTTATATCTTATTGGTATTGATAAGAATGTGTAATTTTGAAAAAAAAAAAACATAAAAGAAAAGTATGATTGTTTAAAAAGATTAAGTTTGAGCCTTGTTTTGGATAAGGGTGAAAGAAGAGGATAGATTTGTGAATTTGATGATAGTTTGAGATAAAATAAGCTAATAATGCTACACACACTATACAAGATTACTCCAATTCTTTCACATGAGAGTGTAATCCCTCTAACAAAAAGGATTTTAAAATGTACTCATCTAGAACACAACAAAGAAAGAGTACTGAATGCAACATAACCTGCTAATATTGACATAATAAAAATTCAATTACAAGTATTGAACACGGATCATTAATCAATTCAAAATATTACAAAATTTATTAATCATAAAACTAAACACATACTATTAACTATTAGAAAAGTAATTTATTGGGAGCTCAATACGCGCCACCAAGGGATTGACCAATTATTATTATGACGTTTTAGAAAATTTGGCATTGTATAAAAATTGTTAGAATATAACACGTACTTTAACGGTTGGAGAAAATTTCACTACAACAAAAATGACCTTTTGTAAGACTTGTTTTTTTGTTACATAAAATACTTGAAAGTAAAATATGCAACACTTTTTTTTTTAAATGTTACATAAACTAGTGAAGTATACCAATATGAAACACTTATAGTAAAGTATTGCATATGAGTAAACATTATGTAACATGTATTGGTAAAATGTTGCAGTGACAAACAATTATAAATATGAAACATGTCTAAGTAACATTTATTAAAGTGTTGCCTTGAGTTTGGTATTTACGTTTTAAAATCAAAACTAAAATTTCATCATCCAAATTTAAAAAAGGTACTAAAAACCTGAAGAAAGAAAAATGATTTTATCGATCACTTCAGAATTTTAAAAATATGTTCACTATCTATAAGAGATCTAAAAGATAAAACGTGTCGATATAAGACATAAATGATTGAAACCAGGGACGTAGCTAGTGGATGGCCAACCCTGACCCCGGCCCAGCCCAAAATTTAAAAATGTATATATATATATATATATATTATATTTTTAGTGTAAAAAAATTCGTGTAATTTTTTCGCAAAACTATTGAAACTAAACTAACAATCTAAGACCTAAAATATCATAAATTTTGATTTATTTAATTTTATTAACTTCATTGTTAAAATTTTATTGGAATCTCATATTTATTATGTTTTCTTCACAAAAGTGTATTGATTTAATAAGATTTCAAATTTTCAAAATTCAACATACTTTTTGAATTATAAATTCCAAATTAAAACTATGCATTGCATCACTTTTTTTTTGACAATCTATTGCATCACTTTTTTTGGAAGAAATGTATTGCATGACTTATTCATTGCATCTTTAATACTCTGTACTAGGGGTGCAAATGAGCCGAGCCGCTCGTGAGCCGCTCGGTCAAAGCTCGGATCGAGATCGGTCAAACTCGAGCTCGAGCCGAGCTCGAGCCGGCTCGTTAAGCAGTCAAGCCATAAACGAGCCTACTGATTTTAGGCTCGCTAGCTTGCGAGCCTAGTTATATGTGGGTATATTTAATTAAGGGAAAAGTACGGAAAATGTATTTGTGGTTGTGTCCGTTTTCAGATAGGGTCATGTGTTTCATTCGTTATCAAAGTGGTTCATGTGTTTGAATTCCGTTATCACAAGAGGGTCACACCGTTAAAAACGTCTGAAAAGGACCGTTAAAAGTAACTCCGATTTTCAAGTGTCCGAAAAATTAAAAGAAAAATACCGGAAGGTGCTTTTTTGTTTTAAGCCACCGAAAAAGTGATATTAGCTAAATCATTTTTTACAAACAATTCAAACAGATCTGAAAATTCCAAAAGCGAAGGTGGTTTGGAGGTCATCTTGACGGGGCGCACCTTTCGGTATTTTTCTTTTAATTTTTCGGGCACTTTTGAAAATCGAAGTTACTTTTAACGTTCTTTTTCAGACGTTTTTAACGGCGTGACCCTCTTGTGATAACGGGTCAAACACATGAACCACTTTGATAAAGAGTGAAACACATGTCCCTATCTGAAAATGGGTCCAACCACCAGTACTTTTTCCGTACTTTTCCCCTTTAATTAATATATGTAATATATTAATATACCATACAAATTAATATATAATACAGAGTATATATTAGTATATGTAATATATAATATAATTTTTTTTTATAAATATATATATATATATATATATATATATATATATATATATATAATACTGATTCATAAATGTATATGAGGACCGGGGGATATTATTAATTATACAATAATTTAACAAAAATAATCAAAGTTTCATCCACTATTTCTTAATGGGTTGACAACTTTTGATTTATATTAGAATTACAATTGGGTAGACTTGAAGCTGGAATTATATTTTGTTTATTTCCCGTGTAAGGTTTAGTTGTTGGACATGTAAATTGCAATTTGCAAATGTTAAACACAAATATTTAAAGAGTGTTTCATACTTGAGCTCGAGTTCGAACATGAACTTTCGAGCTAATCGAACTTGTAACTTTTGAACGAACCAAAAGTATCTAGCCAAACCGAGCCGAGTCGAGCCAAATCGAGCTGAATCAATATTTGCGAGCCGAGTTCGAGCCCGAAGTTTTTAAACTCGTTCGAGCCGAGCTCGAGCTCGAGCCAATACAATATAATTCGAGCTCGAGCCTACATAAACCCAGGCTCGGCTCGGCTCGGCTCAGCTCGTTTGCACCCCTACTTTGTACTTTATATAAATAGGGAAAACTGTCAAATAGGTCCTTAAACTTTCATAAAAAGGTCAATTAAGTCCTTCTATAGAAGGTTCTGTCCGGCCGTCGCGATTTGGGGCAGTTCCCAGTGGAATTTTTTGATGAAAATTTTTGAGCATCTTATTCACCAAGTCTAGTTTACTCATACCAAATTTCAATTAAAAATTCAACCGGGAACACATTTAAATTAATTCGTGAAGATAACTGCACATTTTTGTGTTCTCGAATTAATTTGAATGCGATCCCGATTAAATTTTTAGCTGAAATTTGGTATGAGTAAACCAGACTTGATGAATAAGATGCTCAAAAAATTCCACCGAGAACCGCCCCAAATCGCGACGACCGGACAAAGTCTCCTATAGAAGGACTTAATTGATTTTTTTATGAAAGTTCGAGGAACTATTTGGCAGTTTCCCCTTATAAATAAAAAAAGGGATAACTGTCAAATAGGCCCTCATAGTATATCATAAAAGTCAATCAAGCCCTCCAACTAAAAAAACACTCAATTGAGCCCTTCAACTTCAGAAAAATAGTCAAATTTAAACTTTGGCAGGTGATAAACAAGTTACCCGTCATATGTCTATGTGGTGATCCACCTGTTTTTATTTTTAAACTTTTTCTTTTCTTTTTTTCCTTTTCCTCTTTCGTTTTCTTCTCCCTCTTTCCTCCTCCTGCAACTTCCAATTCTTACGCAATTCTTCTTCCCCCCTCCGTCTTCTTCTTCCGTTCTTTTTCCCCTTTGTTTTCTTTTCGTCTTTTCTTTTCTCACATTCCTTCCTTCTCTGAGTTTGAAAATACGTCGGCCAGACACAAGGTCGATGGCGCCGGAGGTATAGAACATGGACGCCGGAATGTCATTGGCCAAGAGGTGTAGAAGAAGTTCAACGAAATTTAGAGCTCCTTAGCCAAAACGCCATCCTTTTCGGAGGTGTAAAACCATGGAAAACCAAGCTTTTCTGTTTAGCACCATCTTCGCCGGAGGTGTAAAAGAAGTACGCCGGAATTTTTAGCGCGTCCTCGCCGTCGTTAGCCGCCTAATCGAGCTAATTTTTTCCCGTTGTCTACGAAGACTGAAACCAATGACGTGGAAGATGGAAGGTGAAAACCTCCTCTGCCCAAGCTTCCATCTTCAAGTCTACGCCGGAGTTCCTATATAACTTCAAGAAGAAGAATGAAAAGGGTAGAAGAAAACTAAAAGGTGGGAGCAGTACGGGTCAACAGGTGGGAAGATGGTGGGGAGAAAGGAGAGAGTTACAAAAATGTAAGAAAGAAAGAAAGAAAAGGTTCATACAGAGGTACCGGGCTGGGGAGAAGGAAAGAAGAAGAAGAAAGGGGATGGGGCCGAAGAAAAATAAAGGAAGAGAGAAGGAAAAAAAGAAAAAAAACAATTGGAAATAGCCACATAAGCAAATATGACCGCTTAACCTGATATGACTTGCTAAATTCTAAATTTGATTGTTTTTGTAAAGTTGAGGGGCTAAATTGGGTGTTTTTTTAGTTAGAAGGCTTAATTGACTTTTGTGATATAGTACAGGGGCCTATTTGACAATTTTCCCATAAAAAACCTTCAACACCTAATAATCTTTGGGAAAGTTCCCAAAATAGGACTAAAAGAGTTTCAAAATTTCAAAATAGGACTGTCAAGTTTTTTATTCCCAAAATAGGAGTAATTACTGACAAGTTTGGAAAATACTGTCATGTTTGAAGTCTGGTACTACCAAAACATGATAGTAATTAGTCCTATTTTGGGAATAAAAACATGGCAATCCTATTTTAGAATTTTCAAACTTTTTTAGTCCTATTTCGGGTAATATATGTGATGTTCAATCTTCACTGACCACGGGAGGGCAGGGCAAAAGAAAGCGGAAGAGGAAAACCGCCAACGAAGGAGAGAGTAGCGAAGCAATTGAGATACTGTGACCCGACCATCTCTCCACCGCCGCCTGCCGCCTGCCGCCAGTTTTACAAGACCAGCCGCCGACCCTTCATCTAGCTAGCACCTAATTCTAAGCTCGGCGACCAATCACCTCGGTTTCACCATATCCAGGTAATCGTTTATATTAAATATATTTGACATTATAATTCACACTTAAGGTTCGAATTTCGTATATTTTTTGGTCTAGAATTTTTTATCAATTGCTTATTATTTGAGATGAAGCTTCAAGCAATTTGGTTCTGAAATCTTGAGTTTTGTAATGTCTACTTTGTGTTTGAGTAATGTCTTGATGTGTTTTAAATTCAGGTCATACTCTTGAATCAGTTAGGTTTAGCCTGGTAATGTGTATATTTAAAATTGAGATGGTGAAAGAAAAATTTTGTGTTAAAACTTTTAGCCTGGTAATGTGTATAAGGTGTTTGTAGAAATGTCTAAAAGAGAGATATGCGTTTTTTGTTAGTATTTCGCTTGTATTACGCATTCACTTAATACACTAGCTTGTGTTATACACTCACTTCTACATAATCTTTATACACAGAGGTATTGAAGTTCTAAGTCAGAACTTCCGTTGCCACCAAAGATTGAAAGAACTCAAATAGGTAAGCTCAATCATCTCTGATTTCCCACTTTGCTCTGCTTAAATGTTCGAATAAAGAATGATTTTGAATCAATAATCATTATGATGTTATAATGTATGTTCTATCATGCAATTAGCTAAGTGTTTGTTTTAAATATTACAGTATTTCAGTATATATCGAAATATCGTTAGAACTCAGTGTTTTTCCTTATTACTTTCAAAAGTACAAAATGCCCGAACTAAATTTTACTGGGGTCATTGGTAAACGACATATCAGCATTTTTTTGGCCTTTTAGATTGCCTTTGTAGTCTAACAGCTATTTTAAGTGTTGATGAACGATTTCTTGATTTGGCCGTTTGTTACAATACCAAGCTTGGGGTCTGAGTGTACTTTGTCTATCAACAGGCATATAATACAAAAGTGGCAGTGGGATGGGGAGGAGAATACTTAATGATGCATTGAGGACAATCGTGAATGCTGAGAAGAGAGGGTTTGCTTCCGCTCAACTTCAACCTGTATCTACTGTCATGGCTAATTTCCTTCAGATTATGAAGTATCGTGGTTGGTTTTCTTTCTGCTAGTGTTTATGCACACACCACTAATGTTTCAATGCAGGTCAAAGTATCCCTCTATTATATTACTTTGTTCATTTTAGTCCCTCAGACCGATTGTGTTCAATTTAGGCCGTGTACGCTATATAGTTTAATAAATAAAGTATCACTATTAGTGTAAGTATATCTGCTAACTTTTATTATGTCACACATACACCATGATATTGATTTGGCAAGTCCACTCAGATTTAGTACCACCCTTTTGTTCAAAGGATATCTACTACACATGTTTTTTGTCATTTGGAGGCATTAGTATTGACCCCCCTATCTTACTTTCGGGACATCTTATGAGTGTGCTTCTTGTTCAGGATATATTAAAGATTTTGAGGTACAGAACCCCCATAGAGTTGGTAAGATATCTGTCCAGTTAACGGGTAGGGTCACTGATTGTCGTGCTCTCTCACATAGACAAGATATCAAGGCTCAGAACATTGAGAGCTACGCAAAACGTACCCTTCCAACCCGTCAGGTCCATTCTTTCCTCTGATTTATTGCACAGTAGACTGAGTTTTATTATTAATAAGTTGGGTGAATGTCATGATTATCTGGTCGGGCCTTATGCATTGGGTTGGGTATTCAGGTTTAAGGAGTGGTCTCAATGCACTATAGGTACTGAACTATTTGTATGCATAATTGACTAACAACTCAATAGCTATTAATGTTTTTATTTATGTACTTCATGTCTCATAGCTCAAAGCAAAGTTATCATATATCATAATTCATAGAGTACCAGTCCCATTAATTTTGCCATGTTAATGTTGCCTTTTCTTTTACACATTTCACCATATTTGTTTTGAAGGCTAACATGTTCCTGCCATGCAGTGGGGCTATGTTGTGATAACAACACCAAATGGAGTTTTGGATCATGAGGAAGCAATTCGACAAAATGTTGGTGGTCAAGTCCTCGGGTACTTTTACTGATCGAAGTCAAGCAAAATTGAAGATCAGAGAAAATCACTCTCGTTATTGTACATTTATGGAATTGATTGATTGCAAATCACCCTTTCTGGAATGACAATGCAAAAACTGGAGTTGGATGAAAATCATGTCTTCCTGTTCTTTCTTGTTGCGGAAGAGACAAGAAATAAATTGCTTGTTTCGTGGTTAATGGCTATGAAGTTCAAAATCGTTTTTCTACTGTAGGATTTCTAGTTTTGTTGGATCAATCCAAGGCCCCTATGATCCGAACACTTCCAAAACAAACACAGAAACACAGGCAGCCCTAATCGCTCTTTCATCGACCTTGGTTGATTTTTGTAGCGAATGGATTATCTTGGTTGACTTTACTTCACGGGTTACTAAACAGTGCTTACTAAGACCCGTGTTAATAAGCGGCACATAAAATAAGCAACGTTTTAAGATCGTGTTTACTTCTAAAGGTTTAAAACATCTTTTAGCATTAAAATGTCCAAAATAACTCTATACATATATAGACACACAAACATTCATGAACACAAGTATTATGTGTACCCATACCCCCACCCTACCTTACCCCGACCCCACCCCCAAACCCCTAGGCCCTTACAACCCTACCCCTACCCCCTACCACATCAGCCCCACCCGACCCCACCCTAACCTACCATACTCCTACCCTACCCTACCTTGACCCCACCACTACCCCGTCCTTGACCCCACCCTTACCCCTAGGCCCGTACCACCCCATCCACTTACCCCCCTAACCCCCTACCACACACCCTATCCTATCCTACCCATACCCTGCCCTATCTTACCCGACCCCAGGCCCCTACCCTACATTACCCAAACCCCGACCCCACCCTACCCACGATCCCCACCCTTACCCCTAACCACGACCCAACCCCACTCAATACACCATTTGCCCCTATATTGCCCCTATAACTTAACTTAAAACCCAATGGTCAATAATTAGAATGTAGTATGAGGTGAATTTGGTTATTCAACATTCTATGTAGAGATAACATGAACACTATAATTCCCGTTGAAGTGGCCTGGGATTGGATGTCGATGATTTGAACCTACAAATAAGCTCAAGGCTCAATAGTCAATTACTTGAAGATTGACTATATGAATTGTACTCCCATAGAAGATCAAGAGTTAGTGTGGCATATTAGAGTATTACAAATATGGGGTTAGGTCTCCAATATGACTAATTATAAGAGATTGGACAAATATAAGACCTATTCCTAATTCTTCAAAAAAGAGACTAACATGTGACTAATTAGTAACTTATTGCATCAAAATACCAAACATATCCCTTCCTAATTAATACTCTATATACAATAACTAATTACTACTATAGTAACTAGACTAATGACCCATGCGTTGCATGGGTGACATCTAGAGCATGATAAGAAATTTCTAATTTATTATAATATAACTATTGTTACTATAATTATTATTATGGTATACTCCGTATAATGTAGGTGTGAACAAAAGATTGAAAACTGAAATCAACCGAAACCATATTGAAGAAAGTGAATCTGTTGTACAAAAGCCGACTAAAACATGTTAAAATTGATCGAACTTGATACAACCGGTTGAAACCGACTCAAGTTGCGCGCTCGGTTTTACCTTTCTTAAAACTGATCGACTAAAAATCGAACTAATAAAACCAAAACCAACTAAATAGAACAACCGAATACCCATAATATATTGTGCAATTTTATACTCATATCGTAACTTGAATCACTTTTAATTTCTCTCCATAAATTTCATTTCAATAAGATTATATGAGAAACCACATTCTTTCCTTTAGGGTTGAGCAAAACAGTTAGGTCTAACCGAACATATAATTTGTAGGACTTTGTTTGGTTTTAGTTCTCTTCTTTAAAACGCTTGGTACTATATTTTATAAACCGAATGATTTGTTTTTTATTTTGTTTCAAACAGTAAATTCATATATAAACCGGCCAATCTTTTACTACTTTTCCAAAGTGTATGATTAGTATCTACAAAATTACATACCCAAATAATACTAAAAATCACAGTATTATTGCTAGACATAGGGCGTGTTTGGCATTCAACGTTTAGCGGTTAGCGGGTTATGTTAGCGGGTTGTCAATAGCGGATTCAGTCAGCGGGTTTGACTATCGGAATAAATTGGCGGGTTGTCAGAAAATGTTTGGTAATTTAGCTGTTTGGCCATAAAATTAATAGAAAACGTCATTTTTCAAAACGCCAACCCAAAACTCTCCTATTAGCAGCGTTTTCATTTCAGTGTTTCCGTCCAAAAACGCTAGCGCCGAACCGCTATTTACCAAACGACTTTTTCACTTATTGAAAACGCTGAAAGTGGTCAAACCTCCATTTTTCGGCTGAAACGCCGTTTACCAAACATCGCCATGGTATATATCAAGATTTAAAGTCACATGGTTACTTTTTTTTTTATTTATCGAAGGTGGCTTAATTCATAAGAATAGCATTCAGTAAGGGTAAAAGATAGTAAAAGAACCATATGTAATCATCCGCCCGTGGCCGAGACTGAGAGTTAACCACCTGTAAGAAAGCAGTATAACTCGCTAGACCGAGATTGGGCAACTTAAAGCCAATGACGATTACCGTAGGACTTTCAACACCCAAACCTAATGCAAGAGTCTTACAGCGCATAAAGAAATAAAAGCAAGACAACATAATGAATCCAAAGTAAAAATAAGCAAAGCAAAAGATAACAATAGCACCATCATTGAATTTCAGCACCATCAATAGCGGATAGATCCTCGGCGGGCCTAAGCAAGCTGACCCGCTGCCTCCCCATTTTTTGGTCCATCAAGAGCCATGCCTTCTCCAACTGCGTCTTCTGTGGCTTGATTATCCCAAATCCTTCTCCGCTTTGTATCTCCAGGGGCTTCCTCCCTTTCCTCTGTTTCTTTCTGTTGTGGACCATTAGTCTTTGATTCAGCCGAAAGACCTTCCCCGAGATCAACCTTCCGCTGCTTTCCATATCCACCTGAGCTAGACGCCTCAATAGATAGCCACTTGTTGGATCCTGTCGTGTTAGTCTTCACTTTTCCACCAGCTCTGAGATCTACCCCATAAGATTTTTCAACAACAAAACCTTCTTCATACTTTAAAGGGCAAAATTTGTCAGAATGTCCAATTATACCACATAGAAAACAAAAGCTGGGGAGCTTCTCATACTTGAAATCCACCCAATGCTGGATCCCATCTTTTTTCAAAGTAGTACCCTTTTTCAAAGGCCTACAAACATCTAGGCACACCCTTATACGCAGATAAGAGTTATGATTACCATCATAATGACTCATCTCAAATTTGATGAATGAGCCTAAAAATTGCCAATTTTCCTGGCAGACCCCAAATTTCTAAACTTAATAGGCATTATGGACCTGTATCCAGAAACTAGCTTCAAATAAATTCAGACTCAGGAATATCATCAGGCTGAACAGCTTTCATCAGAATTAAATCACGATCATAAAGCCAAGGATCATCTTCAAGCACACGATTCATATCCAAAACATGATTAAAGTTTAGCAGATACCTTTTTTCACCAATTTCCGTAATCGTCATACCTCTCCCTGGCCGCCAAAGCGAAGTCATCAGTTCTTGAAACCCCGACAGGTTGATTTTCCGATCGGTGACTACAACTCCAACCACCGGGAAGGTCTGTGCCTCGGCCTCCTCTTCTCTTTCCTCTTCCGTCTCTTCATCGAAGTTGAGTTCGTTCTGCTTCTCTTCGATTGCCATTCTTTTGTACGAATTAACGATATCTTCCATCCAAAAAACTACTCGATCAAAGCACCCTGCTATGACGCCTACCTGAGCCGAATCTGCCTTGCCTGCTCCGTCAGTCACCGGCGGTTCCTTCCCCTCCCTGAAAACCGATCTTCGACGGAACGAAATCGGAAGAAAAAACCTAGCGGCCGCACCCTAGGAAGTCACGAAGATTTTAAGTCACATGGTTACTTGTTATATATACATATATTAACATAGAAAGATACAAAAAAATCAAATATTACATGAGAGGATAACTTGATACCGGATTCGACTTTCAACTCTTTCCTTTTATGAATATTGAGATGATAGATGCATGTGTCATACTATAAATAAATATGATTATTAAATACTACGTATTACATTAATATTCTACCACTCATGTATAATGATAATGCATTTATTAGTTTATTACTCAAAATTGGATGGTGTCAAATTAAGATGACATATAAAATTATAATATGATCCCACCACCATTCATTACTACAAACATGGTAAGTAAAAATTGTTTTCTTCAACCGTGCTACCTAAAAGTTTGGAACCACAAAGCCACAAAGGTAATTACCTTAATTTTAAACTTCATAAACCTGGCTCTGATACCAGTTGTTATGGACATAGCCCATACTAGGCCCATAGCAGTGCCATAAGCCCATGTGTAGAACTCATTCCTAAAAGATCAGCCGATTAGGAGGAGGGAACACATTGCTTATAAGCCACCGGCCAAGCCCATACTTGACCGGTGTGGGATCGTAACAATACACCACGCTTCGAAGAGCCAACGTCCTCGTTGGTCACGGCTATGTTGGTCACGGTTGGCACCCCAGGGCCCAAGCCACCACTCCATAGGCCACCACTCTGAGTGTCGGGACTAGGAAGATGGGGATGACTCTGATACCAATTGTTATGGACATAGCCCATACTACGCCCATAGCAGTGCCATAAGCCCATATGTAGAACTCACTCTAAAAGACCAGCCGATTAGGAGGAGGGAACACATTGCTTATAAGCCACCGACCAAGCCCATACTTGACCGGTGTGGGATCGTAACAATAATGAAGTTTAAAATTAAGGTAATTACCTTTGTGGCTTTGTGGTTCCAAACTTTTAGGTGGCACGGTTAAAGAAAACAATATTTACTTACCATGTTTGTAGTAATGAATGGCGGTGGGATCATATTATAATTTTATAAGTCATCTTAATTTACAAATTTGCCCTTAAATTCAGCGGCAATTTTCCCTCCTAAAACTGTAGCAACTCTGCTACTTTATATAATATAAAGATACGTACGTAGTATATACTTCCCCTTGCCATATCCTAGCTCCTCGACATGCTATAGCCATTTTCAAGATAAAAAAGTCATGTGATTTTTATACTTCCTAAATTACCGTTATCCGGTTGATCATCC